GATCATTATCGCCATCCATTAATGATTACGGAGTATTTCGCGTGTGGACAATATTGCTTTGGAAGCAACCAAAAGGACCACGCAATATTGCTGGTTGTGAATCAAAACTCAGGTTAGATTTCATCTGTCTGAGGAAGATCCTGAGAGGTGACATAGACCCAGAGTTGCAAAAGTAATTTCCTTTACGGACAGAGGACTGCACGCGGGGGCACTCTCTCACGTTGCGGAAACTTCAGTCAGTTGGTCTTCCGATAGTCTACCGAATCTCACGTAGGTCAACGACACTCTGAAATTCCCTTCCACCGCGGTGGAGGATAAGACAGACACTGTTTTCAAACAGTGTCTGGATGAGGACCTGAAGGGGCTGTGGAGGAACGAACACTTGTGATCGGACCTTCGACCCAGTGGTCATGGTGCTTACGCGGGTACCCTGCCCTCTACCCTCAATACTGAAGACTGACTGGTCGGCGAGATAAACACATGTTTGCCTCCCCCTCTTTAGTTAGTTACTTTAGCCCTTGGTGGGGTTCTTTTGTGGACGAACACAAAGATGGGTGTGGTGAGTCCAGTTTCATTCCACAGAAAATGAGCACCGGTTTTGGTTTCTGTCCTTAGGCCATCCATTTGGTCGACCAATGATGAATGAATGGTTGAGTATAGATGAGGGCAGCACCAAAAAGAAGAACGAAATGTGCCTGGGTGTCAAAAGTGAATAGATCGACCATTTCAAGCACACTCCAATCATTGCCAAGGTTGACCATGACACGAGTAGTGGACCATGTTTGAGGCAAGGGTATCATTGACACCAGTGTAAGGTATCTACCACTCTTGCGCTACACAGTTAGCAGCATTCATCTAGCTCTATCCGGACCGTCGGAAAGGACAGCCCGAGACATAGACCATCTCTAACTGTTCACGCTCATGTATCGATCACCTTGACAGTCCTTCCATTCACAAACGGAAATCACGCGTACCGATTTTTACAGGTAGTGAAATTGTTCTATAGTAATTGGCAGTGGCTTGGTGTCATTCGTTTGGTTTCGGGTCGTTGTGCTCATAAGTCTTGCATTTTCCACGGCTATATCGAGTACGTTAATTAGTTTCGTAACTTTATTTTTCGAAGTGAATCGTTTACTACAGATACCTATGGCGTCATTGATTGATTCGCAAACTCCTGAAACACGCAGATTACAATTGATTAGTTTATCATGGCGATCAACCCGTTTCGGTTGGTCAAAATTCAACCCTAAGGTGTCCGAGGAGGACTACCTCCTTATATGCTTGAATGTTCTGCCTGATTGCAAGGCTAATGGGTTTAGTGACATCGCCTGCCGACTTTTAACTTCTTCCGAAAATTCAAACATTACTATTGATATTATTATCATTGTACTTCAAAGAAGTTTCATTTTACCGATACCAATATGGTGTTTCCTGATCCTTTGAATATACCCTTTTCAGGTTGCACAGAAAATAGTGCATTTGCTGAAGTTCACCCATTCTACACCGTAGCTGTACAGGTACCGAGAACTCAGATGATGGGTTTGAAAATGCTCGTGGAGGGATACTGTGAGATACCCAGTTTGATGGTTCGAAACAAATTCAAATTATTATGGTAAATGTACCGGAATCAATTTGCATTCAAATAAAATTAGTCCATTTGATACATATTACCTACAATTTTAATCGCTTGAACGTTCTAAAAGAATTTGTGTAATGAGCATCAAAGAGAAATTAACAGGTGTTCTGTCATTGTTGGAATCCATCAGTCGTGCATATCACATAACTGTCCTTACCGTTTTTTTCGCACACTTGTGTGATGAACAGCAGATTGGGATGGACCCATAGTCACAAATACTTGCACTTGTGGTGGAAAACAGTAGCCACCTTCGAGTGGCATGGTATTGAACGACAAGAAAACTGCCCACTGTTAAAACCGAATTTCTACCGCAACGCTATGCACAGTATTCGTATGGGCCCCTAAACCATCAGGAGGAATCAAAACACGAAAGAGAGCGTGCTGATCGGAATTGGGTTAACGATTTAGTGAACGATCGTGAGAATACGTTAATCAATTAAACGATGGCCTGAAGCTAGGAAAGGCTGGCTCACGGGCAAAATGACTAGGGAGGATATTAGTCAGTCTCTGTCATGAACAGTTGCATCACGGGATTGGTCGATCAGTCGGAGCTGAATGCCTACGTAGCCCACACCAACAAAGATGGGTAGCAGTGGTGTTGGTGAGGCTTAAACCTCGAACTATAGATTACGAAGCACGCCGGTGACATCGATTAAACCGCTGAGTATACACCACTTCCTTCATGTAATACTTTTTCCGGGCGAAAGTTGTGTGCATAATTAGATCAGTAAAGGATATTGGTATTGTATTCCATACAAACTCGGCGTCACAGAAACTGTGTTTATGTTGGGTCTCACAGATTTCCGAAACCGGACTACGAATTGCCACCCACGAAGTATACATTCCTGTGACCACAAGTGTTTGTCTCTCCCCGTCCGGCTCCATTTCATACCATCCCTCAAGCCCTTCGTGCATATTAGAACAAATGTGGTGCCATGTCAATTCGCTTAGTTTCCAATTTCTCCGGTGAGTGTGTCTTGTCAGACGAGATTCAACGACGGACAAACTACTTTAGTCTCAGCTATGTGTGATTTGTTGTTGGCATTCAACAGTCGAATTCTGGCAGTAACCACTATGGATTGTGATATATTTCACGGTCCTTTTTTTTTACTTTCAACGCCTTTTGGTTGGATAGTCGTCACAACTTGGCCCATGAGGAAATGCCTCTTCCATAGCAGGTTTTTCGTTCCTGCTGTAAGAATACCATAGTTCAATGAGAGGGGGTTGTTTTCAGCGATCAGCAACTTTCAGGAATTTTGGAAGACTAAATTAAATATTTAATAATTTGCTTGCTTGTGCTCTATCTGTTTCGAAATGAATTACCGAGGGTTTTGTCCTGTTAGCTTGAACGAAACAACACAGATTTGTGTGTCACATTCAATCAATGGATTCGGAATAAGTTACGACGCGTCAAAATTGTTCTGTAATTTTAGCATTGGACTAGAGCATTGTTGGCGGTCTGCTCTTTTTTGCAGTCAAATCATATGAACGATTCCATATCTTTTGCAATACCAGTTGTTCCAGTATTATTGCAAGGTGTCTCATTATCAATGTCTGGATGACCATCGAGGTGCACAGATTTATCAGCCTCCTGTTGAAGCGCCGGGAAACGGTTGTGAGAAGTGCTTGGGTCAAACGCACCACAATTTCCAACGACACAATTTAGCTATTTAATTTGTCAGGACGTGTACATGTCTGTCCTTCTCTTCCTTCCCCAAAAATTTATACAGGACTAAACTCCGCTAACATCAATGGATCATGCACACTCGACGCATGAACCGCTGTTAATGCCCAATTGAAATCAGATTCACGATCTACACCATAAGCGACAGCAATAAGACACCAATTGATCATGCTCAATTAACATGTGTAACATATGTACTTCTTGCAGATTATAATCTGCAAGAAGTACACTAACGGGATATGAATCTGAATCGCTGAATTTCTACCCCTCAAGTGAGGAACAACTAAAATGACTAACTGAACTGCATGACGGTCATCACTAGACTGCTCAAACGGTACATGGGCCTGGCGGCTCTGACGAGGTCAACGAGATAGCTTGATACTCAGAAAACGTAAATTGCAAAACGTGTAGTTTGAAGTAGAATGGTGATTCAATTCAGTTCAGTTTGTACAACCATGAACCATGAATCTCCATGCAACGGTTTTGATTGTTGTCTTTTAGTTGCCCATTTGAATTAAGCAGTAGAAGAAAGACAAGAATGTTGCAGTAAAGTCGAAGAGAAAATGGAGAATTTCAGTAGACCAAGGGTTGTAAAAAAAATTGAGAAGATACACAAAAGCCGTCGTTTACAACACGTAGCCATATCTTTTGGTGTCTCTAACCATCGGTTACCAAGATTTCAAGGTCCCCATTCAGGGAGTCTAACGCCACTCATATGACTGAGTCTCCTGGTCTAAAAAGCTTTACACAGGAACAAATAAACTGTCAATTTTCTCGTGAGTAGAGTGCAGTTTCAAAATGATGGCAATAAACTAAATGGGTTGATTTTAACGGACTACCCCTTGGACTTCGCCCTCACGCACAATCCTCAATTCATTGATTCAATCATACACTCGAAAATATTAGACCCCAGTTTTGCTCTTAGTGGAGCTCATCAGTAGTGCATATCCAATATCAATTATCTCACACCACTACTTACAAGTGAGTTAAATGCTAATAATCAAATGTGCCCTGTAGGTTCGTTGCAAATCAGCCCGTGACCTGCATGGAAGTCCTGACTTGGTGGGAGGCTTTCGATTGGAGTTAACTGATTGCATTTTTGTCTTCCTTCCTTACTGTCGGGCCAAATGAACTGACTGCCTATCACTGAAGGTGACACCTGGACAAACATGAATTGGCAATTTGGTTCAGCCATGGTATGAACTGGCTGGCACAGGAGTAAGGCACGCGACTTCCATGCGATGGGTCCGGAATTCAAATCCCTGACGAGAAGGTGAATATGCACTACTGATGATACTGATGATGATACTGATAATACGAGTGAAACTCGAGTCTTGTGCTTCCCAGTGTATTGTTGAATCGATGAACTGACGATTGTGCTTGAAGCTGAAGTCAGAAGGATAGTCAGTTCAAATCAATGAATATTCCACACTACTACTCACAAGTAACTATGAGTGAAATGCGAATAAACTAAATGACTAACTTCCGGTGATGGTCCTCTTTTGATAGACAGGAAATTGAAAGGCGAAAATGTGAGCAGTATCGACCCATTTAAAATAGTGAATGATGTTCAGCTGTCTCCCCTATTCGAGGTTATTATTTTTCCCATCTGACACAAATGACCATTCATCGCGAAATGATAATTTCTTTCAACTAAAACGATTTGTTTTCTCCAGCAAAATGAACAGGTTTGGTGGCTATCAATGGAACATTGCATCTACAAATAACTGTACAGGAAAAGAATTTCAAAACGCCTCGTTAGAACTCATGGATCGTCTGAAAACAAGTGAGTAACATAGGCACATAAATTGAATCTTCTATTCCGAAATTTCGAAAATGGAATTGATAATTCGCAATAATATATTATCATTATTATTGTGATTATTATTATTATTTTGTCTGCGATATCCGAGTAACCTGTTTCATACCGATGATGATAACGGTAAGGAGAAATCGTCTGAGTGGTAACGGGATTTGCAATTCTGTATATTCTCGTTTGATTCACCCCTAATCTAGCAGTGGATATGCACAGTCAAGTGGGGCACCAGTTTATCAGTATCTCTGAAACCCCCGAGTCGATATCTCAGTTCGTAACTCTTGCGGATGAAAAAGGCTTTTTACAGATCACCACCACATAAATTTTTTATCTTCTTACTTTACCTCCTTTTACCCAACACACAATGATTCAGTTCTCAGGAGGGTTAAAGCGACTAATCAAAGGGCT